AAAACAACTGACCTGCAGTCCTTTAGACATTGGGCAAAACAAGACTAGATGCGCAAGTCTTCGTAAACTCCTCATGCTTCGTTCCCGATGGGCAGAGGAGCGCTTCTTCTTCCTTTTATAGCTTCTAATGGTTGAGAGAAAAATAATCTGTGTTCCCCCTGATTCGGGTCACATTTAATTTCAACGATATCTCCCCACACCATTTGCATCATTCACTTTTGAGGCGTTTGATCTGATGGGTCCGTGGGGTGTAAATGTTGTCCAAGGTGAGCGTGTGTGTGCAAACGTCGAGGCGAAAAGGAACATGGAGATTTTCCCACAGCTTCTAAACACAAGGTCTTCCTAGGTCAAAAAAATTCCGCTGTATAAACCATGCTACTTAAGCATCCACCTGTCCCATAAAATAAGTTCCGAAATAAATTTAATTTCTGTTAATATTAAGAGATTTCTTTTTTTGACAATATTTATTTAACTTGTGGTACAATAAAAATACAGCATATCGCATAATACAAATTGCCGTATAATTGTAATACATTATATTAAGCATATTGTTTTTCATTTAAAATTTTGTTTTATGGTTGCTCAAAACTCAATATATGCAGCGATTGCGTTGATTTGAATCAGAGAGAATGGTAGCTTTAATTAAAGGGGAAGGGATGTGTTATTCGGCCACTTTTAGACCGCCGACATAAAACAGGTTTTATGCCACTCTACTAAGAATAGGGATTTAATAACACGACCAGGGATCATATAAATAGTAGATACTCAAATTCTTATTATACTTATAAATTCACAATAGCTAAAATAATAAGTTCGAGCTCTGTGCTATAATGTAGAAGGTTCAGAGGTCTGAATCCCATGGCTAACAAATTACTCACATCACGTTTTGGCCCGTTAGCAATGATCTTAAGCCTAACTGCTCTAGGGCCTGTAGATGCTCTCTCAGATTGCTCTGTGACCCCAAACTTTCCTCCCTTTTCACAAAAGAATTACCTAAATTAATAAATGTTGCTTTAACAAAAAAATGTTTAAGTGAACTTAATACCCCCTGATTAATCTGTTGATTGAAATTAATGGTTTGTTCTAATTGTTGCTATTGATAATGGCACATTTTAGCCTAGACGTATTATTCAGTTTTTCAAATTTGCTGGATAAGGTCTATTTTTTCATTTTAAAATAATAATAATAATTTTAATACTGTGCTTATGGAAGACAGGAAACTGTCATCATTAATAGCTGACTACTGAACCAAAAATTGCGATCTATGTTTCTCAAGTAATTGGCTAATTAACCAGTTGTATCTAAAGGTAACAGGATTAATAAATTAGCGGCCTGTTCATTAATGATTTATGGTGATTGTAAATAATATTTTCTGATTCATTATTATTAACGTTAGCTGCAACATGTGATTACATTATTATTATTATTATTATTGTTGTTGTTGTTTGTTGTTGTTGTGTGCCATTGACAACCTGCATATAGCTCTGGTATCATTAGCTTACTGTCAATCGGAGGAACGATTCAGCTGCAACCAATTTTAGATTCAGATAATCCCAAGATGAAACAATGCCATAATGCATAATCATTTAACAGTTGATTCTGTAAGCCTGTATTGAGCATACAGCAACATAACCTTCACTCCATTGATATGAAAATTGTATGAGGCGTCATGTCTGTTAGGTTATTGGATATTGTATTTCCCATAAAAACATCAACTCCCTTCTTCAGCCAGTTTTGATCTAACTAGGTAATATTCTTATAATATGCTTTTAGCAAAATTATTTAACCTTTCTATTCTTTCAGTAAAATTGTCACTAGCAAAACGTGGTATGAAAAACCATGCTATAATTGACTTTAATTATTAATAGCATATTTACAGAAAAGAGTAAAACCTCTAAACCGTGATCTGATGACTCTTTGTTTCCTTCAGAAATGCAGGAATGTGCATTTACTACACGTAGCATGTGTCAAAAATGGAAAAGAAAAATCGAGAAGGAATATTACTACCTGGCTTTTTTCAATTAACACTCATCAAGAAATAATGTAGACATTAGATGAGAAACAAGATAATTAAACTATATTTGTATTATACTGTATTTTTGATATTTTGCAGATTAATTTAGTTAAACCATGAACTGTATCTGACACAAAGCTGCCCTCTAGTGTCCCTTCTTATTCACATCTCCCAGGATCCATTTTAAGATAAGGCAAACTATGTAAATCAGTTCAATTCTGCAAAGGGAACAATCTCCTTATATATATATATATATATATGTTATTATGTGTGTGTGTATATGTGGTTTTACTCTCGGTTTGTACATATGCACTTTCATGTTCCATGATTTTGTTTTGTTATAAATTTTATAACGCCTGAACTTCGTAAAGGATGTATTCTCCTCCCACCAGTCTTACCTCTTATACACTGGTAAATAACTGTAATTATATTACATATCATATTTTCTCAAAGAAAGTTTCTTCCCTTGTTAAAGTTTTTTCTCCTTCATCACTTCATCACTTACTTTCTTTGATTAGTGTATTTCAAATAACAGAAACATTTCTAAAGGAAATTCTTCCCTTAATTGCTTTAACAGATTGGTGATGCAGTGCTTCTGGTAACCTCATCTCAAAGAACAATTAGCATTGATTGCAGCACACTGACAAGCCTGGTATATCAAGGCAAGTTTACAATTTGACATTTTAGAACTCTAGAAATGCAGGAGATGCTAAAAGGAAGTCACCTGACTTTGATCTATAGGGCACACAGCCCATAAACCCCGTTGATTTCTTTTTGTGCCACAGCTTTGAAAAGACATAGTTAAAAGTTGGGATACATACTGATAATATTGTTGGAGGTTTACACCGACAGTATTAAGCTGAGTCAGAAGTACAGAAGTGAACTGTACTTGTAGGATTTCCCCAGGGATACCATAATAGGCTGATTACAGAACTATAAGATCTATGGCCACTGTTCTCTTATAACTTCTGCCTATTTGTTACAGATACCATGAGATGGAAGGTGAGAGTTATGCTTCTGGCAGATTTACAGACATCCCGGAGACACAAAGATCAATCGCCTGTGTCTTTGTCAACTCAGGTGATGTTTTACTGGCTTTTGGTGGTAAGGCTTTTCACACTGATATAATGGCACAGTGTGATGTCATAAATGACAACATTCCTAGTCTTGAGGGTGATTTTTTGCTTCTTAGATACATTTAGCAAACACTTTTATCCCTGTGAGATATTTCCTATGTATTTTGGTAAATAGAGCAATGATATTGCTGTGCATTGGTGACTCATGATTTGAGATCTGAATATGGATAACCAGATCCCTGTGCTTGTGTATATCTATGTATATGGATGATGCAGATGCTATATTGGCAGTATAAGTCGTTCTTATTCCTGAATAGTTACGAGCTGGCATTTTGTCAATAGTAATAACAGCAATATAAGCAGTATTCAAAGGTCTCTAGAAAAATATTTGATGCCACCAATAGGGGGAGACAAAGTAGCAACAGAACCATAAATGGACGAGGGCAATGACCTGGGGTGATCTTTAGGAAATAAAACTATTGGATTAGAAGATTATTTTAATTCTTAATTCTTTAATTTTAATCTTTTCAGTAATAGAATTTAACTTGTGTTTTAAGCCACAGGGCATGACTCCTGTAAAGTGAGCCTGAGAATTTAGTGGAAATTGTTAAAATGACCAACTAGACATGAACTACACTGTGATTTTAAAATACCAATTTAGCAGTGCGTTCCTGAACCTGACTTTCCCTTTAAAGCTCTCTTTTTAAATATTAGACTACAATAAAGAACTACACCACTTCACCTCTTACAGATATATAGACGCATTTATGAAGTATACAGGTTTTACTTAATCAGTATGTAATGAAACTAAGACCTAGAATGGAGCCACGGTATCTTTGCACTAACTCTTTCTGGAAACGTATCTCCTCTGATATTCCCACGTTTATAAACCCCTAATGGGGGACCAGCAATCTTGCCTGGAAGAAGCTATTTGATCCTTTTTGGGGGACACAAAGTGTTGCGTGACATAGACAAACTGTGGGAAGCTGAAGACCAGCTGAATGGTTCATCGTCAGACAATACAGTCAAGATCTAAAAGAACCAATGACTGTTGGCTATTTAATTGGATTTATTGCTTGTTTATGAAGTCCTGATTGGTACCTAGTGAACTAAAAGGACAGAGGAATTCACTGAATGTTTTAAAAGTTAATGGTCCTCATGCAGCCATGTGGGAAGGAGTGTCCATTGAGACATATATTCCTTTATTAATTCATTCATTCATTCATATTCTATGCCACCTGTCCTATATAGAGTATCTTTGTAAATGTTGCGTTTTATGACTGGTTTACAAAGTTATTGTTACATTTCCTCTAGCTACCTGACAATGTATTTATATCTTGTTAAATAATAGGCCTGCAATTCAAGGCAAAACGTTCAGACTTGTAACATAAATTCCTCTTAATTTATCAGAAATACAGGCTGTCGTTTCTCTTAATCATCTGAAATGTTGTAATGCGGATTGATGCGATATCACTGTATCATGCAGCAATAACTGCACTTTTGTACAGTTTTTAATTAGTTGGGAACTGTTTATATAATCTTGGAGAGCTTATCTCTTAGGACAAATATGTCACGCTATCTAAGTGATAGCCGGAAGTAGCCAGACCAGCGAGCATAGTTTTTATAATTATTACTTGTCCGTAGTAGTATTACTTGAAAATAAGGGCTAAACGCTTGGGGGAAGCAGCATGCATTAACCCGGTGTCACATTTGGAAACACCCGCTGACAACTTCGGATCCTCTAGCAATTGAATTTCGCAAGAGAGAACAGGGGAAAGGTGCGCTTGCATGCAACGGGAGTTGCTCGAGTTTATTTGATCGAAGCAAGGAAGCCAAATCAAGGAAGTGTGCACAGAGCTCCCAATCGCACAAGCAGCAACAGTGTGTCCGGCCGGTGGCGGATCACCAGCATGGAGACCCTCTGGATATTACCGCTGATGCTCATCCCGGTGCTCCTATTCACTAGCAGCACCTTTGTATTTTATTTCAAGAAATGCTTCTACGTGGCCTGGATGATGATTCTGGCGATGATCGCCATCCCGATCTGCATACTGAAGAGCGGCGGCAGGGACGTGGAGAACATGCGGTGAGTCGGGTGGATGAGGCAGGCTGGCAGGGCTGGGTAGCCGCGGTCTGGGAGAGCATCGTCTCTCGACCATGTTACGGGCTTTTCAAGCCGGCTAGAGTTTCAGAAGTCGTCATGGTTTGGCCGCTGAAATGGTAACGGGCGCTGTTAGTAACTCGCACAGCTGGGTTCGGCCGCGCTCGCTTAGCATGGATGCTAACACGGCTAGCGGCACAGATGTGGCAGCTTTGCGGCTTTCGTACCTCACCCCTTCGGTCAAACACGGAGACCTCCCGGGGTGAACGGCCACACGCGCCATTTGCGATTTCAACGGGAATCAGCACCTTCTGTTTGACTTATGAGATTATGAACATGCATATATCACATTTTGTCTAAACCATCTCTGTAGTTTATACCTATTTCGTGCCCGCTAACGGCTGTCAGATGGATAAGTTACTTAGCCTAATAGCTAGGCAGCTTAGTCACACTTTTTTCAAATTAAATAGTAATACTTTGACACTTAGTGTTGTTAATATGTAGCACTTTGATTCTGGTTTTAATTTATACACGTGGGATTTTTTTTTTTTTAAATCTCCTTTTAGCCATGCAATGTAATCAGTACAGGTTATCCGGCTGAATAACGTTGCTCCTCCTGCAAGTATGCAGTGTTGCTTACGAAATCGGCTAGAGCATTTATGCTTGTGAAATCCTAATATTTAAGAGGGAGAGTGTGTTGTCTTAATGGAGCCTGTGCAGACATCGGTCCCGCCATGTTGACTCATTGATAGCTTTAAGGAGTAACTGAATCTAACAGCCACGGCAGGGTGGCACATGTGGGTGATTTACCCAGCAGATCTGGGTATCTGTCGGTGAAGTGCCCAGCTGTGATCATCTCCTGTGATTATTTCCAATACAGGAGAATGGCTTCTTTGAATAGTGTAACGTAAAAAACTAGCGTAACACTCAGTACAATTTACGTGCAGGCCTAGATCATAATTTTTATCCCTTCAAAACCTCAGATACTTTTTTAGTTGGATAAGTTTAGGTAGATATCACAAGAGATTTATTCAATTTAAATATTTTCTTGGTATGTTTGCACCTCTTAAGGGGAGAGCAGGTTCTAACTATTCCACCAGTTTCATTTACACATTCAGACACGGCATAACATTCATGAATAAAGTGATTACTCAATCTTTTACAAGGACCTCTGCTGATGTGTGCTTAACTTAAACGTGATCACATATAGTGATCTCTGACCTTCACTGTTTTACCCTAGCAAGTGCCTTTTAAGATAAGGCTGTTTTAGCTCCTTAGATAATGGTAGATATTTCTGCTAAAGTTCCCATAGAAATGGCTCTTAGCAGTCCTTTCAGTTTACTCTTCTTTGACCAAATTGTACAGTAAGCCCCATTGGGGGAGCACAGCCAGAGGAGAGCATCAGTACTTTGGTGGGGCTGATGTGGGTCTGATTTAGTAGCTCACATCCCTGTGGGTACATGAGCAATTTCATGAGTGACCTGTGATCTGAGCTCCCTGGAAGCTACTGGTAATCGTTGTGACTATATAGTGCTTTACTAACCAATGTACAAAGTCATATCAATGTACCTCAGTCTTAATATTAAATTGTAAGGTTTTATATTTATATTAAGACAAGAAAATAACATGGACTTTCACTATGTTTAAAGTACAGTATACCATCTCTCTTTTCTAAAAGCATGTGAATGAATTGGATTCACACACACACTTTTTTTTCTCCATAAAATATTTTCTTTTCTGGTCTGTTACTAGCTGCTTTGTTTATGTGATGTATGGCCTTGTGTATGACCGCAGGCCCTGCACTTGCCTGCCCTTTGTGGGTGTTATTCACTTCTTAGCTATTGTATTTCCCTTTCCATTGTTTATTGGTTGAGTTAATCCTCCTCTGTCTCCCTGTTTTGGCAGTAGGAGATAGATGCCATTTTTTATTTTACTCTCTTAGTGCGTGTTTTGGGTTAGCTAAGGAATAAAGTGTAGTTTTGTCTTTTTTTCCACTCTTCTTCTATTGAGTGTAGAAAAAGCAGATTAGGGAAACTTATGGAATTCTGTCACAACTCTAACAACCCAAGACCATGAGTGATAGGTTATAATGCAGGAAGCGGATTTTTTTTTTTTTCCCAGAACCCTACAGTTTAAAGTCCTTTCAGTTCCCTCGTCCTGTACTGTTCTGCTTTGTGTGTCCATATACTTTGTCTTCAATCACTGATGACAATAATTGCCACTGCATTTTTGTAATGAATCAAACTGTTTTACAGAAATGGCATGTTTACATTTGTTTTTTTAGGAGGCACCTTTGCTCATAGTGACATATATTTGGGGTCAGAGTTTAGAGTCAGCAAGGGTCCCTTTAGTTGCAGAAATTCAGGCCTTACTCCAGGGCATGACAATGAGATGATCACTCTGCTGATCATGGGATGAGATCATGGGATATGAACCTGCAGTCCTCCAGACAGGGATGCCTAATCCTCTGAGCTCTGGCCAGGCAGTATGACAGCAAAACAATATCTCAAAATTTTAGGTCACTGTACCGATATTCGTTATATTGATTTTATTACTTTGGTTTAAAAGTCAAGACAGAATTTCAGAATGAATTATGGTTTTATTTATTCACATCAATGTTGCCCAAATGAAAAACATAAAAAGCGTATATCTCTTGAAGTATCACACTCAATTCTTAGAAAAAATACAAATTGGCTATCCAAGTGAATATCCAAGTGTCTGAAATGTAAATGCTTGTCATGTATTTAACAGATTATTGAGTTAAATGCTTATATTCAAAATAAGACAACATTTTCAGTGCTGTTTTCTTCCTCTGCTGAACTGTTTCACATGGACCAAAAAAAGAGAATTACAAATTGACTAGATACAAGTATATGTATTATTTATTGTGTTTTCCCCCAAGTATTTAACGATTAGGTTGTTCAAAAGTTTAATGCATGAAGTCAAATTGCTGCCATATAGCACTGCAAACAAATGTGTGTATCGTAAAAAACAAAGTATGTATATATTGCAAATTGATGTATTGAGAGATTTTTTTCTTTGACAGATGTTTAAAATATTTTTTGTGATAGTACTTTTCTCTTTCCATTTGACTTTTTGCGGCACCTTTATGGTGCCTGTGTTTCATTATCTGCTCTCTTTTTGACGCTGTGTGAGTGGGCGGGGGTGTCTGTCATTATCCCATCCATACCACCTGCCTGATTTGTACCTCGCACATCTTGCTCACGCGCAGCACTTTCAAGCCTTCGTACACCACGTTACTTTTACTGCCACTCCCTGTCCGTACACCACGTTACATTTCCTGCCACTTCCCGTCCGTACACCGCGTTACTTTTACTGCCACTTCCCGTCCGTACGCCGCGTTACATTTCCTGCTACTCCCCGTCCGTACACCACGTTACTTTTACTGCCACTCCCCGTCCGTACACCACGTTACTTTTACTGCCACTCCCCGTCCGTACGCCGCGTTACTTTTACTGCCACTCCCCGTCATTTTACAGGGTGGTTTGGCCAGTGAATGCCTTAGACAGAAATATTAATGCGTTTTCCAAACCACCTTGTAAAACTAAAATTTACAACCTGGGACCCTTCAGACCACAGCTGAGGTCCAGTGATACCGAACATAAATGCACTATTTAACCTGGGGACAGTCTCATCTCTCATATCAACTCTCGATGGCACTGTAAGTGCCAACTACGGTGAAAATCAGTATTCGATTCCATAGTGGGAGACTGGGTACCAGATCCATGGGTGGCAGCAGGCATGCAATTTACCAACAACTCTGATTGGAAGCTGTGCTAGGCAGGGATAGTTTAAAAAAAAAAAAAAATATGATACCAAAGGCCTTTGCTAAAGATAGTGTAACAGAGGATGAAGAAATTCATGTAAAATGAGCACGTGATAGTGTTCCCAGTGGTGTGGTGTCCAAAGGTTACTCCACCTTATAACACTTAGGCAACACCGTATTCTGTTATGCTAACTGAGTTAGCCAAAGTTTTCAGGGCTAAATATGCATGATGAAGTCATACAGTATCACATCATGTTAAAGTGCTGAAATTGTTATGAGAGTCTCATCCATTTGAAGTAGCTAGATTGCCTCTGTGCTTTTAGCGATTTTTTTATTTTTTTATTTTAAAAGTCCATTTGCCTTGGGTAATAATGTTTCATATTTTTATCAGCTGTGGCATTATTTAGTGTTTCTTTTTCTGTACTAGATGAGCGGCGTATGTGTAGAAATGATCAGAGGACATTTTATCTTTTTTTTTGGTAACTGTTTGATTCCTCTGGAGCCCCTGAAGAGACCCTGTGCAAAAAGAAAATGCAGAAGCCAGAGTGAGAGCGTTTTATGTTTTTTGCACAGGTCCCTTCATGGGGTCCGTAGCTTTTTCATTGTTCTAACTATATGTGCTGTGATGTTTCTTTTGGCAGAATTATCCGCTTCCTGGTTTGGCATGTAAAATACCTCCTGGGTCTACGTTTCGATGTGAGTGGCTTGCAGAATCTGCCGACGGAGGGCCCGTACGTGATCATCTCCAATCACCAGAGCTCCCTGGATGTCTTGGGTATATACCTCATCTTGCCATTTTAAACTCTGTCGTTAGGCCCTCAGATCTTCTCCCCTAGGCACGCTCACCACAATTCCATCTGATCTCCAGGGTCATTGGTTCAGCTTGCTCAAATGTGTACATAGTATTCTCCTGGTGTCACTGCCAGCTATTAGGTCCGATGCCTCAAAGGGTAGTTTTCCACTGTACCTTGTACCAAACTGTTGGTGCTAAAATATCTGTACATTACTTTTTTTTTCTATTAATTTCCGGTCCAATACCAGTTCCAAAATACCAGTCCAGCTGAGGTACTTTTTTGGTGCTTTGGTTTTTTGAGTGGGATTTGCAAATGTGTTTAGTTATACATACAACCTGCCTCGCAAACACAGTACAGCCACCGTCTTGAAAAAGCATAGTTACAATCTCAGAAACAATGATAAAAATAAATAAACAATGCATGCATAGACAAAAGGGACCTAAGCTTTAATTTACATCTGGTTTGAATAACAGATTCATTGAGATGTAGACGGCATGACTAGAAATTTCTAGACAAAATAAACTAAAACCAAATATAACTTATTTAACAATAGAGTCCATCAAAAAGATTGCTGGTCTTTTGCTGTTATGAATGACCTGGAGCGTGAATGAGGAGCTCATGCAGTAGACTTTAATTTTTTAACATGTAATTTCTAATCTTGAAAAGGAATAATCATTAAGATTGTAAGGTTTGCAAAGTTTTTTTTTTTTCTTTCTTCCTATGACAGAGTAAAACTGTATTAGTGGAATTCTAGTTATACACTCACTCTGTGTGAGAATTGCATGTGCATGACATGGGATGTGGATATTAATATCACATATCTCCCAGCCCTATCACATATCATAATATATACTCTAATACACTATACTATAACAGTAGCTATTTTTGAAATCAGTACAAATCTCCCTGCCATGAGTTGTGGTATCATCATTCTGCGCCAGGATAAGTTTTTTACCCCAGTGGAAAACTAACAGAGGTACCACCTTTGACTCTTTTAAAGTACTAAAAGTTAGGTCCCTGGTGCAGTGGACAAGCACCCACAGTTGATTTCATCCAAGGTAACGTGACCCAGAAATCTGCTTTGGCAGCAGGTTGGGTCAGGTGGTACCACCTGATGGCTCGTATGATCCTGATAGTGTCGGTAGCTGATTGGGAAGAATCCCACCTGAGCCAAAGCATTGACCTAGACCTCCAACAGGACAGTATTGGCGTAATCCCAAATCATAAACAAGAACTGTAGTCAGTCCCTTTTTAACTGTAGATAACAAGCAATACTTGCCCTTGGCCTTTGTTCCTGTGAGTCCACACATCACCATGGGGTTGCATTTGTTTGGCATTACACAATCAGCAGGAGGTCTACAGTGGAGCTATTGAGAGCTTGACGCATCTGTTTCCTTTGAAAGCTCAGAGCTGTTACAGAAGACATTAGGTACACATTCGTCACCCAATGAAATGAATGAGTGCATTACTTGACACGCACAGAACCTGAATTCACAAGTAGATGAAGACATTATGCTAATTATGACTGAGTTGGTTACGGCTAATGCTGATTATAGCCAGTCGTAATTGGTTCTGGAATATTTTGGATTTCCCAATAAATTATACCAACATGACAGAGAGAGAGAAGTTGATAAGACCAAGATTGTTTGTTGGCTCTCGGATTCGTTACACCCCTAAAATACAGATTGCATTCATTAAACATATAATTTATTGCACATCCTTCCTCTGCATTATTACTGTAAGTACTGTCAGTATTTCTTTAGATGCTGCTTTAATGAGTTTAATGCTTGAATTGCATATGCCTCATCATTGAATATTTACACTGTCTGCAGAATTATTTAGGCAAGTACTATTCCTGGAGATAATTTTTAGCAAATGTCTGGCGGTCTTATAAGAGTGAATTAAGAAGTTTTCTTGTGCTCCAAGTAAGTTTTCGTAAAGAAAAGATTACATTAGTTTGTCACAAAATAAGTACAGTGGTACCTTGGTTTACGAGCATAATTCGTTCCGGAAACATGCTTGTAATCCAAAGCACTCGTATATCAAAGCGAATTTTCCCATTAGAAATAATGGAAACTCATATGATCCATTCCACAACTCAAAAATATTCATATAAAAATTATTAATACAAAATATGAAGTAAAAATACATAAAACAAATTAACCTGCGCTTTACCTTTGAAAAGAATCGTGGATGGTGTGAGGGAGACGAGAGAGGAGAAGAGGAGGGTTATTTTGTAGGACGGCTTTCACTATAATTAACGGAATCACTGCTATCTGTTGGTTCACTGGAATCTTTTTCTGTTCGTGTGACTTTAACAAGGAACCCATCCAATGACAGCCTGTTTTGCCTCCTTTTCGATTTCGCAAAAATGTGGACTTTGCATTGTCGTTAAACAGATTCATCGCTCGCACTGCTACACTCTTATTCAGGTGGTGCTTTTCTACTAAATTTTGACTATACGAGTGAGGCATGCCGACTGAGACCAAGCATGGGAGACCTATTACCCACAATTCTGCAGCGTGAGAAAGTGAATAACCATTGTTTCAGTTGTGATGACGTGCGCTCGGCGTCAAAACAACAAGCGCACGCATTCGCTTCCTGTTTTGAAGCTGAGCGCACGTAAAAACAAAAAAAACAAGGAGCGCATGTGTGCCATATGATTTTTGATGATACTTGGCACTCGTAAACCAGGACTATCCAAAAGTCCAAAATTTATTAAAAATCTTTGCTCGTCTTGCGGAACACTCGTTACTATTACGTGTTTATTTTTGGAATGAAACTGTTGTTTGGAAGAGAAGATACAATCAAAATACTCATTTGCCTAATAATTCTCTATGTGGTGTTAATGAGAATAATTCTGATTTTGTCATTTTGAAGGTAGCACAAAACTGTCAGTGTAATTCATGTGAGCAAATAGACTACCAACTTCCTGTCATTTTCATTCGAGTGCTGGACTGCAGAAGCTGGAATGTCCTGGTTCCAGATTGGCAACTGTTGATCCACAAAAGAAGGAATCCAGGGAGATTTTTCTGTTCTCATGAATGGAAATTAGGGTGGCACATTGGGAAGTAGTCTGAGTGTACACATGTGAGTGTCCAGCGACCGACCGCTTTGAGTGCCCTCCTGTGATCCTGTACTAGGTAAGTGGTATAGAAGGTGGATGGATGAATGAACATGTCAGAGTGGCTCATTTGGTAGCACTGTAGCCTCTCATCCCTGGGGGTGTGGGTTTCATTTCAGGTTCTGCTGCAGTTGATCTCATGGAAGATGGATGAATGGAAATGAATAAAAATGTCGACTGGCATAAAGTAATTTGCAGAACAAATAAATAATATTTGGATTTCCCCAGGGGTCTTAATAATATTGTTTTGGAGGGAAAAGGTGTGGAAAGGCTGATGGTTTCTCGGAAGGCTTGAGGGATGATCCCCGTGGCCGCGGAGGAATGAGGGTTAAGTGATGGGAAATCGGTGCTTCCTGCAGGTGTTTTATTAGATCTGAATTACAAATGGCAGCCTTATGATTAATGTGCGGCTGGTAATTCTTACCATGACCCAGGAATGTCCCCTGCCCCCCCTCCCCCCGTTTCCGGTACTGCGCTGGGTTGGTGCTCTGTTCTGATGGGAGTGGTCAGAGGTCCTCTCCCTGTGGTGGCTGGATGGAAACCCACAGAACTGTTGACATTGGAAAGTGTAATGTGGGCCCTGTCTGCTTTTACCGATTCCTTGTAGCATCCCAGTGCCTTTTACTGTCGTGGGATAAATGTACACTTTTCTTGTTATTTATCGTTGTGATGCTAATCTATTGATATATTGTGACATCATGTTGTAATACTGTGATCATGTGCTAATAAGCTATATGGAAAATGGGTGAATTCTTATGATGAAATTATATTAAAGTCATTTAGTGCAGTCATTTTATGGTTGCCATGATAACATTACAAATACTGCCTGTAGTACCTATTATTATTTGAGTACATGATATGTCTGCACATAATGGTTTACTGGCAGTGTCAGTTCCTGCAGTGGAGTTGTTCCTTCTACTGGGGGTTGGTGTTAATGGAAAGCTGAGGCGCTTCACCAAAGCTAGCTGCCTAATTATGATGTAGAAGCCAAAACATGATGAGGTAGACACCCCTTGGCTTCAGTAATTACTAATTAATGCCTGTGAGAGGAATTTGTTGGCTCTCGCATGGTGCTCACATGAGTCAAATAACCAAGAAGGTATCACTTTAATGTAGAAGGGTGGGGGAAAACATTCTTGACTCTATTTTCTCTATCTGCTTCCAACTCTATCCAATTCTTGTATGCTTTCATTAGTGTGAAACCAGATATCAGTCATGCACTCGCATTAAAATGTAGTCAACGTGAGTCTCTGGCCTGTTGGATGGTGCTGAGAGAGCTGCTGACTTATCTGGCCCAGGGACTGCAGCTGGCTGCTGCAATGGTGAGAAAAAACAGTCATATCTGCGTGATATATCGCATTTTTAAAGTGTATTCACAAGTGTAGTGCGGCCAGGTTCTAAAATACGTTAAAATGATGAATGAAAACTTGATTTCTGCTGGGGGCAACAATGGAAGATCACTGTAAACATAAAGCATGACGAATGGCATGGGTCACACTTCTGAAGCAGAGGTTAGCAGGAATGTATGTATGCATGTAGCAGGAATTGTATTGGGGTAGCTAGTGGTTAAGTCTCTGCTCTGTGATCGGAAGGTCACCTGTTTGAGTCCCAGCATGTCCATAATGTGACTCTTAACCCCCAGGTGTAGGGTTGCTGCTGTGACCCCCCCCCTCCCCAAGCTCGCTCTCACCTGCATGGATGTCTCATGCAGAGCAGGATGGGCTAGGAGAAGCATTCCATTGTACCTCTACTCATTATTGTGCGATTGGCTCATTTTCAAGGATCATTTCATTTCATCTTTTAATTGTGTTTATAAATAACTAGTAACCAGTTCTTGTCATAGCTTACCAGAATGACTTGTAATGTGGTATTTTACCTGTGACTGCCGATTACAGATGTCTGGCACTCGTTACCTGACAGGTTGAATGCTGGTTGAATACTTGGGTGTAACTTGAGGATTTCTCCTTGCAGGCTTGATGGAGATCCTCCCAGACCGCTGCACCTCGATCGCCAAGAAAGAGCTTGTGTACGCTGGCACTGTGGGCATCGTGTGTTGGCTCGGGGGCATCATTTTCATCAACCGCAAGAAGACTGATACCGCCAAGAGCATTATGGCCGGTGCCGCCCGAACCATGCTGGACAAGCAGGTGGGTGCATGTCCCTCTCCGGGGCCTTCATGGGAACGGCTGCCTGACTTCACCCATCAGCCTGACTTAGAACGCGGCAGAAAGCCACGGGGAGCTGGTTGGAATAATTTTCGCAGAGAGTGACCTTGATGTGCCGGTTCATTTGCTGTATCCCGGCTCGCATTGCAGATCCGGCTGTGGGTCTTCCCCGAAGGAACACGGAACCAGAAGGGTGACCTGCTGCCCTTCAAGAAGGGCGCGTTCCACCTGGCAGTGCAGGGGCAGGTGAGACTGTGGATTTAGGGAAACGCCTCGCACTGCTATCCGGCTCCTCTTCCGATTACCTTGCCTGTGAGGTGTCATGCATTAAATGAGGCTTCCTGCCTTTGCTGTGTTTCAGTTTGGCTGTAATGTATCCCTGGAGGAGAGTGCCTTTCTCACCTTATTATGCAAATTAAGTCATGCTGGGTGCTGTGCAGCAGACCCATTTGTGTAAATTTATATTCAAGGAATTGGTGATGCATATTTTTAAGCAGCTAATTTAAAACAATCAATTAAAATTTTTATTAAGGTGTTTTTGTTTTAGGACACCGGTCACTGACCTACGACTGGCACAGTGGATGGCTATTAACCCTTAACTTTATCTACCATACGAATAATGAGGGTAGCTATTGGTGTTGGCCCCCAAAATGTTTATCTCATTTGTTGAAGAATATTTGGTGTTCCCTCACTTCTCCCTCACTCTTGCGCTGCCTTAGGGTCGGGACTAACTGTGTTTGGGCTGCCTTAGGGTCGGGACTAACTGTGTTTGGGCTGCCTTAGGGTCGGGACTAACTGTGTTTGGGCTGCCTTAGGGTCGGGACTAACTGTGTTTGGG